GAGTAAAGTGATATTAAAAAAGTTTTTTTACCGAAACGTCTACACGGACAGAATTTTTCGTTATTTTTTACCGCAAAATTCATTACAACTTTTATCATGTTTGGTAATAAGCTTGGGATAACTTGGCAGTCTTTGAAATTTATCAGTAACGATAGGATTTTTTTAAATATACAAGGGACTTTTTAAAAGCGATGTAGTAAAAATTACAATGCAGATTGTAAAGCGTTTTGAAGTGAAATTTTTACAATGTGCTTCATAAAATTTCAATATTGATAAGAATTTTTGAAATACAAGATATTTTATAAACGATATAGTAAAAATTACGAAACAAATTGTAAAGTATTCTAAGGGTACGTTTCCACTGAGCGCGTCACGACGCAACGCGAAAGAGAGAAAGAGAGGAGTTGTGTATATATATAAACTTCTCTCTTTTTCTCTTTCGCGTCGTGTCATGACACGATGGATGATGCAAGACGCGCTCAGTGGAAATGTACCCTAAGACAAAATTTTTTAATGATCTTTGTAAAATTACAATTCGCGGTATAGCAACCAAAAGCAACGATTAAGAGTGTTAAGACTATCTTTGTCTTCTGATTCCTGAAAAAGAAGATAGCCTTAGTCGCGATTGTTTTTGGTTGCTATAGATTTAGTGGCCAGAAGCACGCCAAAAATCGCCCATGATCATATAATCAAACTATTTACTTACAGAAAGAAACTCGGATATGATGATCCTCTTCTAAACTTATATACTTTTGTGTAATGCACTCACAATATTACGCACAAATATTATGCACTGCTACGCACTTCGAATCACTTCAGACTCGGGCCACGAATGATGGCAGGACGCGGACGACTTGTCGACTTCTGTTCGTTTGTTTCCTGTTTGTACGAGTTCTAGCGTAGCTAGAGACACACTCGACGACAAAAATAACCGATAAATATCGATTACAGTGGATAAATTACCATATTACATGCTAAAATTATTATAAGCGACTAAATGAGATTAAAAATATCATACTGCATGGTAAAAATTGTATGAGCTATTTTATATATTTATAACTACTTGGCATCTATTCTGTTGAAAATAATAAAGAATCATAAACTGCGTAACATATTTTTAAAATATTGAAATTTTACTATACTCTTTAGTAAAATTAATAAAATATATTATATATCTTATTATGATACATATCAATAAATCAAAGAGACTCACATACTATTCTTTGAAATACTATGTTGTCCCACTATTATCATGATTTTCAGGCTAAATTCTAAGAGAAAATTCTCATACCAGCTTATAAGAATGAAATTGTGTTAAAAAATTGGCTACCACCACATTGATGATTTGTACGTATATATACAAACTTATCAAACGGAATAAGCACCTAATTCGGCGATTAGATATATTAACAAATATAAAAAGAGAAATATTTTAACACTGAATACGTAGGAGCATTTAATTTTTTAATAACACTTTATTCTTATAAGCTATTCGCTCAGTCGACATTTTATTAACATAATAGGTCAAATATCTCCTAAACCAAACGAGAACTTAATTCAGAGATCTGATATCCTTAAATAATATTAAAAAGCAAACATTTTAATATTAAATTTGTTGAATCACCTAATTTTTTAAGGTATCTAGTCTCTTAAGAGCCGATCATCAGCGGACAATGTTTTTTAAAAGTTTTTTAAACGTTTATTTCTTATTACTTTCATACTTTTTACGATTTATTTTCAAAATTCATTAACTTAACGTTTATTTAACGTTTATTATACATTATAATTTTTCTTTTGAAATAAATAATTGAAAAAATATTATTTAAAAGATTATTTAACGTTTATTTAATGTTTATTTTGAATTTATTTTTATTTGAAGTAATCGTTTAAAAAAATATTTTTTAAACGGTTATTTAATGTTTATTAAGTGTTTATTCAACATCAATTATTCGTTTGAAATAAAAGTTGAAAGAAATGTTTTTTAAACATTTGTTTAACGTTCATAAAATATTTATTTTACATTATTTATTCAAAAGGTGGTGATAAGAAACACTTCTCGTTTATTTAACGTTCAGTAAACGTTTATTTCACATTAATTATTTGTTTGAATTAATAGTTTAACGAAACGTTTATTTAACGTTTTTCAAACGTTTATTTGTAATTAATTTTACATTTTATGAGTCGTTTTTAAATTAACATTTTTTAAACGTTCATATAACGTTTATTAAATGTTCGTTATTTATTTGTTTAAAATATTTTATTTATTTAGAAGAACGTTTATTTAATGTTTACCTAACATTTATCTAAAGTTTATAAATATGTAAAAAAATGTTACTAACATTCTAAAACTTAAATTAATAAAAAACGGGTCGGAATAATGAAATAATCACGGAAGAAAAGTTAACACAATAAAATTGTTTTAAGTGTACCATATATAGACAGTAAGAACAGTGTGCATCGATAGTTATAAGCGGCGTAATGAATAAGGTAGGAGACTCATAACCCTGAGGTCCCGAGTTCAAAACCCGGCCAGTAAGTGAAAAAGATTAAAATATAATTAGAAACAATTAATAAAATTAGTTGTCTAAGGTGTAGGCAATGTTCCTACAAAAAATTTAAGAAACGATTCTACATTATTATTTTTTGTAAACAATACTAAGACTTTATTCGGACCGACAGGAAATTAAATACTAAGTACAAGCATATTCAGGCCTATAACGGTCAAAGCTAGATTTTTTTGCCTAAATAATTCCCAATGAATTATCTATAGCCTATATATGTACCAGGTATGTAAATATGAAACCGGAATTTACCAATAGATGACCATAGCTGTCAATGTAGTTGCCGTCAGACCGCGCCATTTCCTTGTTCTTACATCTGACAAAGATATTCAACTCACAACAATACAAGTTTCATACAACAGTATAGTTTGTAATAGGGTTGAACATGTCGAATTTTGTGCCTGGAAACTACACGGAGAGAATTTTTCGTTATTTTTTACCGCAAAATTTATTACAAATTTTACCATGTTTGGTAATAAACTTGGGACAACTTGGCAGTCTTTGAAATTTATCAGTAACGATAGGATTTTTTGAAATATACAAGAGACTTTTTATAAGCGATGTAGTAAAAATTACAATGCAGATTGTAAAGTGTTTTGAAGTGAAATTTTTACAATGTGCTTCATAAAATTTCAATATTGATAAGAATTTTTGAAATACATAAAAGATAATTTATAAACGACTTAATAAAAATTACGAAACAAATTGTAAAGTATTCTAAGGGTACGTTTCCACTGAGCGCGTCATGCGTCCCGTCGTCCATCGCGTCACGACGCGACGCGAAAGAGAGAAAGAGAGGAGTTATATGTGTATATATATAAACTTCTCTCTTTTTCTCTTTCGCGTCGTGTCATGACACGATGGATGACGCAAGACGCGCTCAGTGGAAATGTACCCTAAGACAAAATATTTTAATGATCTTTGTAAAATTATATATTTTTACTAAAATTTTCTAAATAAATTCAAATTAATAAAATTATTAAGGAATTATTAATAAATTGTACATTTTCTAACATTTTTTATGGAATAATATAGTATTCCATGAAAAATCTTACAAAATCTTTAGAATAAAATCATATAATATAATCATAAATTAATTACATGAACATGAACTATTAGGTTAATAGAATATTAACATACATGTATATATACATAAATATTAACGAGTTGATTTTTGTTCCTTTATATATAATTGATTATAAAAGGATTATTAAAGGTTGTTAATAATATTTACTTTATAAAAAATAGATAAATTTATTTATATTAATAATAATAATTTTTTATGTCTGTCAACATTATTGCTATTAGAGTTTTTATCGAAACTAATTATAGAATTAGTATTACTATTCAAGATAAACATCCAATAAAAATTTTGTAAGTAGTACAAATGAATTGTTGGTGATTATAATTAATTCTACCTTATAAAATAAAGATCCATTTTCTGATGGTATCATCATTAAACAACCTGTATATATATCTTTTCCTTCAAAATTAATACAAATCATTTTGAAATAAATGATCAGTCAAATCGGTTCTGTTTGATGAACTTGACATAGATATACATGTTTCAGTATTTTCATGACACTTTTGTAGTAAATAATTCTTTTTTTCATTTATATAAAAGTCCAAGGTGAAAAACCGTTTTTTGTTAAAAATGTGTAATTTAATCTTAATTGATTTTTAATAGCAATAGTGCGACAGACATTAATACGATTAATAGAAGCTCGTGAAGTTATTTTTCCTTCACGGTGTTTACTTTCAAATGGCATTGATGAAATATTCCAAAACGGACCTGACATCAAAAATATTCTTGGATAATGAATTAAAAAATGATGTTTAGGTTTTAAACGTCCAGGAAATAGAGTAGATAGTGATTCTAAGTATTCACCTATTTTTTCTCGGAGAATGTGTCTGCATGTATGAGAAATTTCGAACTGATTAATATTTCAACCAACTCACGTAATTGTAATAATAAATTCCAATATTCATTATTAGTTGGAATTAAATGATTAATAATTAAATTTATATTATGTCTTATAAAGCATAACATTTCTGATGCTGTCATACACAAATGTTTATTTTTAATATGGTTTGTTAAGATTACTGGCGGCTTATTTTTATTTGGACCATAATTAAATCCTTTTATCCGGTTATTTAATTCTGTTAAGCTAAAATATTTATCAACTTTTATAAATTGATATAATATCAAGCCCAAGTCATATTGACATACACCTTTGAGAACGTCGTGAATAACACAAGCAACTAAATTCTTTGTAACGTGATAATTGTTTATGCCATGAAATATACATGACTCAGATATTCCTGTTTTTTTTTCATTTTGTGATAAATCAGTATAATAATTTGTTTCAGTCCTTAATGAGGCATTATCTTCGTAAAAAACATTCTGTATGTTATTCTTGTTTACAAGACAAAATCTACAAAATTGCATTGTATTAAAGCTTTCAACAAGGCCAAGAATTGAATGTAAACCTAAATTATCACCTAAAATTAATGATAACTTAAAATAAATGCATTTTTTCTCGTTATTGTGACATATTGTTATTCCATTATTTTCTAAATAACGTAATTCATCAATAACTTTTGAAAAAGTTGTGCTATTGCTAAAAACTTTTCTATCTAAAGAATTAAATAAAATAAAAAGAAAGATATTATTTATTTTCGATATCAGTTTTGGTGGTAAACATGCTATGGACAAATACACGGCACCGCATTTAGAAATACCTTTGTGACTTCCAAGAGGGTTATTAGTTTCATAGTCATCGAAGTACAAAAACAATGGAAGAACAGTTTTACCTTCCAATTGAGCATTTATATTTTTCCAAAGTTTCCCTTGAATAAAATTTGTAATGATGGTATTATCTTCTTCAAGAGTATTGATATAATTTAGAATCAAGAACACCAGGTATTTCAAAAAATTGTTGAAAAACAAATCGAATTGGTATAAATTGAAGTTTCACCGGTATAGATTTTGCTATTTGAATACCCTTTTTACTTGTGAAGTCATTTCTTTCACCTAACAAATATTCTTGAGGTGCTATGTAAGTTCCAAGCTGTTGAAATATTTTCAAACATTGCCATTGTGTATTAATAATGGCAAATCGAGAATTTCTTTTTTCAAAAATTTCTGTAATATTGGAAATATCTTTTTCATTAGAAATATTTAATAAATTTATCACGTCATACTTAAGATCATCAAGAACATCTTTAAATAATTGACCAGTATCAATAATAATACTTTCAGTCCTGGAACGTGGAATATCAAGATAATGATATAATTTTGCAGCGAAATTTATATGTCTGTCAACATTATTGCTATTAGAGTTTTTATCGAAACTAATTATAGAATTAGTATTACTTATATGAGAAATTAAACCGAAATCAGTATTACTTGTATCAGAAAATACATCGAATATACTCGTACACAAATTTTGAAATGAATGATCAATCAAATCGGTTCTGTTTGATGAACTTGACATAGATATACATGTTTCAGTATTTTCATGACACTTTTGTAGTAAATAATTCTTTTTTTCATTTACAGTATGTTTTAATCTTATATGTTTTCGGAAAGATTCAAATGAAGAATATGTTCGTAGACACGATCTATCACCACATTTAAATACAGAAAGAGACTGATGTGATAATAACATATGACGTAAAAAAACTTTAGAAGAGAAAAAAGAACTAGCACATTCCACACAAATAAACATTTTTAATCTGATTTTAAGAGATATACTTAATAATTAATAAAATTAGTATGAGTTTTTTTTAATTATTACTTGAAAATAATACATCTACTTCTCCTATTAGAATGTTGAGAGATCGATTGCAAACATCACTTTGTAGATGAATATCAAAGCAGCACTTTTGTATAAAAATCCACAAAGATGAAGCTTGTTCTGGATAGGCACAATCTAATGCCATGTAAAGACGGAAGCATAGATCTATTGCTTCAAGCGATGAATCAACTTTGTATAATACATTTTTAACGGCAACATACGAAGCATCTATTGCTATTAACTGTCCAACAAATATTGATGTTGGTTGAAAAGTTAACCCTGCGATCCTTAATTCTTCTTTCCTTCTTTGTATACCAGGTATTATATCTGTTGCTGTCTGAAAATATATTTTAATAATTACATTAATTTTAACATAGAGAAAGTAAAAAATATATTTTTTTTATTATATTTGTAAAACAAATAAAGAAATTTACCTGGACATGTAATAAAAAAGAATCTCGTCGCTCTTGAATGGACAATTTATTCAAATTATGTACTTGACTGTTTGTTGAAATTCTTTTTCTTTTTCGTGATCCTTCAATTAAATGAGGCAGTAAGTAAAATAATAACGTGTCTTTATTATCTGTGAAATAAAATAAATAAAAATTAAAAACAAATTTATTAACTCATCTAAGATTAATATTCAAATATGTAATTATTTTTAATTTATACTTACGTTGTAGTAAAGTTGGAAGTAGATGGATATATGCTTTATCAAAAATGTTTTTGATAGATTTGCATTTTTGCAAATTTTTAATTAAGAAATTTCGAATAATTTCCCAACGATCGAAAAACGTATCATTTTTATTAGGATATAATTGATCGAAATCATTTTTTAACTATACAAATTTATAATTATTATTAATAAATTAATTTTTGTTATTGAATTGATTAAAAAAAATTTTTTATCAAACTTACCAATGTCGCACCAAGACTAATTTTTAAACATGGGAAAGACTCATAATAATCATAAATTTCACTTTTTTTTTTAATAAACCTGACGTGCTTGAAATGTTGCCATCCAGTAATCAACAATAGTTTCTTCTGGATCCAAATGATTTTTCAACCAATCCAACTTTAAATTGACAGATTCTATTAAAATTGAAAAAAATTATATGTATATTCTCATAGTATAACTTTTATTATAATATTTAAAAAATAAGAAATAAGTATATGAATAAAAAGTATGTGAATAAATTTGAAGTATCGATTATATTTACCACAAGGTTCATAAGACTGATCAATGATTGTTTTATTTAGCGGTGTTAATATACCAGATCGTCGTAATTTTGATTTTATGTAATGGAAATGTTCAATTAATTTCCCGGAAGGATTAACTCTTTTTTTATTAATACATGAATAAGGTGAATAATAAGTACGAGAGTTTTCACTCTTAAATAATTCTGTAATTAAGGTTGCCAATTCTTCAAACCGTTGACGTGTAATTCTAAAAATGAAATTTAATTTGAAAAAATTTGATAAAATAAAATTAAATACTATTATAATAACAAATTAAATAGCACATAATTTTATGGAGAAAAATTATTAATTTATTATGATAATATGTATAAATCTTACACAAAATTATTAAGATGATCTGGATTTCGGCCAATATTCACATTTTGAAAAGCTCGATCTTCTTGTTGAATAATTAATCGACTTAATAAGTTTCGTGTCTGTTTAGATAAACGTCCATTATCATGATAAGCTTTTAATACCAATTTTCCTTTCGTAGTATTTGATAGTAATTTATGAATGGCCTACAATATCATACTTAATTATATATTTAAATGATAATACAGATACATAAACGAAGATAAAAATGAATAAAGTACTAACATTTTCTCTTTGATCATTATAAAATCCTTCTCGATTCTGCAATTAATATAATATTTTTCTTATTATTTTAAATAATAATATAATTTTTCTTAATAAAAATAAATTACTCTAAAAATACTCTAAAAAAAAAAAGATTTTACTGTAAAATTTGAAATAAAATATTGAAAATATAAATTAATTGCAATTACCTCGCTTTTAAGTTTATGTATTATATTACATATATAATGTAATTTTGATATATTAAATAAAAAGTGAATTTGTGTTATACTGTGTTACAATTGGATTTTAATATCAATTCATAGAGACAAACATAAATAATATTTAAATCTTACTTTTTCTGGATTATTATCCATAATTGCTGTGAAAAAATATAAAAGAAACACAAAATATAAATCACTTTCATTCCAAAAATATCATATATAAATTTGATTGACACAGTATAGTGCAATTTATTCAAATAATTGTGTTATATATATTTTGTATAAAGTTAATAGAAGTAGACTGCGTTCTATTCAACACAATGCTTGTGAAATTATTCCATCCTTGTTATCAAATAAGGACAAACAATTCTTGTGAGCATTGTGATCGAGCGTTAAGATGGCCTACACAGTCAATAATACTGATCAGTAATATTGAATCAGTAATACTGACAGTATGCAGCAATATTTTCAGTATTTTTGACCTTACACGATCAGTATTATTGATATAATATATTTCTCTCACTTTAGTTTTATATATATTATCTATTGCACCGTGAAATACTGTGACATGAATTCTAATAAAAACGATACTGATGCTCGAAAACCAAAATTCAGACACCGTCAACATTTTACGTCAATCCATTGACATTAACCACACACACTCAGTAATATTATCAGTATTTATTAATATTTATGAATTATGATATTATTGACCATGTAGGATCATCTTCGTAACGAACGCGGCCATAAAGTTGCATGAAAATTGAGTACACATAAATTACGTCATAGAACACACATAAGGCGATTTTAGGCGTGCTTCTGCTATAGCAACCAAAAGCAACCATGATTAAGAGTGTTAAGACTATCTTTGTCTTCTGATTCCTGAAAAAGAAGATAGCCTTAGTCGCGATTGTTTTTGGTTGCTATGTGGTGGCCAGAAGCACGCCAAAAATCGCCCATGATCATATAATCAAACTATTTACTTACAGAAAGAAACTCGGATATGATGATCCTCTTCTAAACTTATATACTTTTGTGTAATGCACTCACAATATTACGCACAAATATTATGCACTGCTACGCACTTCGAATCACTTCAGACTCGGGCCACGAATGATGGCAGGACGCGGACGACTTGTCGACTTCTGTTCGTTTGTTTCCTGTTCGTACAAGTTCTAGCGTAGCTAGAGACACACTCGACGACAAAAATAACCGATAAATATCGATTACAGTTGATAAATTACCATTACATGCTAAAATTATTATAAGCGACTAAATGAGATAAAAAATATCATACTGCATGGTAAAAATTGTATGAGCTATTTTATATATTTATAACTACTTGGCATCTATTCTGTTGAAAATAATAAAGAATCATAAACTGCGTAACATATTTTAAAATTATTGAAATTTTACTATACTCTTTAGTAAAATTAATAAAATATATTATATATCTTATTATGATACATATCAATAAATCAAAGAGACTCACATACTATTCTTTGAAATACTATGTTGTCCCACTATTATCATGATTTTCAGACTAAATTCTAAGAGAAAATTCTCTCCGTGTAGAATCAATTAATTTTAATGGATAATGTTTTCAAATTTGATATATATCGATCGTAATGTACACAGAATGTGCAAGAGTTAAAGAAATAATAATTTAAATATTTTTAAAAACTATTACAAAACAATAGAATTTATATTTAATTTTTTCTTTTACACAACTTTGCTTTCTACCTCACCTGGTAATTTTATTCAGTGCTGTATGAAAATATCTATTTTTATAATTATTATATGTATCTGTAAATATGCAGTAATATAAAAAGAGCATAATAATAAACCGTGAAGAATTTCTGGACTTCATTTCTTTTCGTCATAACATTAACAAGAAACCCTGTTCGAATAAAGAAATCCTGGTACCTCTCCCTAGGGCATATATTCGTATACTAACTCAAGATATTTGATATGATCCTCGAGATATATTACATACACTCTATATTCACCAATATTTCAACCGCGTCATTGTAAAGGGTTTCGCGTTGATCTCGGTAATAAAAGGAGGAAAGTTTATTCGCAAACCGCGACCTTCCGAGTCTCCAGCGTAAGCTAATACCCGTGGTGGCCGTAACATTTTCTAAGGACAATGAGATTTCAACGGCGAGAAAGAATACTCATTGCGGATTATTACAATAATTATTATTACCACCGCACTCGTCAGCCATGGCTGAAATCGAGAATGCATGCCATCTCTCTTCTTATTGACGCGAATGTGTGGTATTTTAAACACACAGTGTAATTGATACGTGCAGAGCGCCATTGGCAATACTCGCAGATTTTAATCGTAATTTGAATTAAATTAATGCGTAGAAACGTACGATATACTCATAGAATATATTAATAATTTAATAATAATTATTTGCATACATCTGTATACGCGTCAACCTATGGAAATAACAATAATAATGACTACGTCTCAGAAAATTATAAATTTAATATTTCTTTAGGAGCATTTATACGCTTGCATTACATTATAATAATAATAAAGTAATGATTTTAAATATTTCTCTATAAGCAGTAATATTTCTAATCTTATTTGTATTAACATCCATCTTTTTAACATTACTTATATTTGCAAAAGAAGACATTGTCTGCGAATGGAATTTCTTGAACGTCTTGTAGGTAACATCTTCATTACGAAAACTTCTTTTGAAAAATTATTTTTTGCTCCCTTCTCAAAATAATTTCGCGCATCTCTTATTCAAGGAAGGAATACGGATTACAACCAAAGCGCAATCATACTTGGCGATTCCACAGGCGATGGAAAGCAGCTTTGCGGTTACCATAGGCAACTCCAACGCAGCGGTTACGATTAAATAAAAATTGTTCAAGAAAATAGTCGAGATAATGAGTTGGCGCGTACAAAGCTCAGACGCCTTTGCGATCTCATCTAACATTAATTAAATGTTTTGCAACTACCAAAGTGTTAAAGATTAGCTTTTATTGTATTTCTACGCTTAGGGATACAGGATATTTCGCAAGCCAACCTGTTCTAAAGCTTTCTCAGAAGATAAAGAAAATATCGCTGAGATAATGATCACCTTTGAAACACGGAAAATTTATTGCGAAAAATATCACTTAAGGTTATTTTGATTGAATATAGTCTTCTTCCCTAACGTATAGTATTGAATATTCCTTGGTTGATTTTCATTTAATATTGAATACAATTTTTTTTCATCATCATCGAGAAATGATTTTTTTTTAAAAGTTCTTGATTTTCTTAAATTCTCGCTAAACATTCAAAAAATAAAAAAAAATTATTTTCTTTTATATTCGCGTTTCACGATATGGAAGAAACATCAATCACAATGTACGTGACTCCGAGCTTTATCGTTTTTTTTTTCTGTAAGTTTTCCGCAAGAATTGCGCAACCACAAAACTTTGTGCCACCCACAGCGTTATTAACTTCCCGGTTTCTATTCTCAGTTCTATGTCTCTCATCTTTGCAGGTTTTATGGAGTCGTGTAAATCAGTCGCGAAT